CTGCCTGGCTGCCGGCCGCCATCTTGGCTGCCAGTTAATTTGCATATCTCGCTGATTAGCCGATGGGAAGGGTAGCGGTCATACGCCAATTACCATGTTTCTCTTTTATTAGTGTAGATCCCCTTCAGATATACATATATAGATAGCTATAGCTATAGAGATAGAGATAGAGATAGAGATATATACAAATATAGAAACAGATATAGACATAGGTATAGAAAGACAGCTCTTTTGTATCTTCTGTTGTTCCTAAAAGTGTTAGGTACATAGTAGAATGAGGAATATCCTAGTTGCTTGAAAAAGAAAATCCTTTATTTAATGTTTGTTTAGTTCACTGTGGAATCGCACAGCGAGTTCCACCTGTGATGTTGTCATGTCAGTGCACTTCAGACAGACCCCATGGCAGAGCTCAGACTCATACATGTGCCGGCCAGTCCCCACTCACAGCCCCTCCCCCACTGACCAGGTACAGTTTGCAGCCTGACCTTTATCTTGACTAACCCTCCTCCATCCCCCCCAAGGCTGCAGTGCAGAAACCTTTACTCTGTGCCATAAATGGCCTCCCTGTCTATTTTTCTTCTTCCCAGTCTCCACTCTCTCTACATTTCCTTCGTGATGCCTCAGAATCCTCACGTCGCTGAAACACCCCTCTCTCCCCTGGTCTGTGAGGAGAACCGAGGTCTCATTTACTCTCCTAAATCTCAGGGCTCCAGCCCCACAGTGTTTGGAAACTCAGTCTTTTCTGTGAAATGCCTTCCAAAAGGTTGTCAAGGCTGCCCAGCTTTACCTGCCCACTCTGAATGTCAGTCCTGGCTCTGCCTGACCACCGCCGTGGAGTGGCTTACTATAAAAGGACATAGCTCAGGAACAGCCAGACGGAAGAGACTTGTAGAACAAGGAATGAGAATTCCTTGCCATGCCCTCTCTGAGCCTACCACTCCCCCGGAATCTCTAAGTGTTCACCAACTTGGAAGCTCTTAGAACCCCCTGAAATTCCAGGCTCAGACACTTGGCCTCCTGAGTCATCCCATACTTGTACCTTTTACCCCAAATATTAGGACCCTATTGTTCACAAAGGCCCTGAAATCATCTTATGTAGGAAGAGAAAAACTGTTCAAACGGGTTAAAATGGAGCGATCCAGGATTCTCAAAGTTATTTATATGTTTAAAAAGAGCACTATATAATAGAAATATAGTAAAAGGAACATAAATAAAAAATATTTCTAGAGTATCAGGCACAGCTGAGCAAGGGGAGTCATACAAAACATCACAACCAGGACTGTGAAGGTCAGTTTCTGTGGGTCTGACCTGCTTCTTTTTGGAAACTCTACTCTTTGGAGCATCTTCTGAACTGCACCTGATAGGCTAACACTCTCCGAGTTTAAAGAGTGCCTAATGGACACTCCCTGAGAAGCTGCCTGTGTAGTAATTTATTGATAAAATTGGAAAAAGCCAAAATGTACACTGAGTGTGACAATTCAAATTTTGAAATGCTGTATTCCTCAGCTACCAAGGGAGGAGGGAAGCAGAGAGGCCAATACAGTTCTTTGTTATGCAACTTTGGCCAAAGTATCCATTTTATAAACTGTCAGCTTTCAGAAGATAAGAGAGTTATGAGCAATAAAGAAGCCTAGGGAATCCCAGAGGAAATCACTCACTTGATATCTCTCAGGAAATTATATATTAGCTGATGCACAGGTTGAGAGGGAGCTATTTAGACATGAGCAAAGCTCACAATGTTTCCTGAGAAGGGAATGCCTCCCTGTTGTGCCCATGAAAATTCCCCACTGAGGAGAAGG